TAATAGCTTTGGTAAGTTTTCAAATAAAATGTTAATATGTGAGGAAATGGGCGTTACGATTCTTTAATTTTAATAATTTGAAAATGTTCTTCTTTCCAAAACGAACGAATCTAGTGTAATAAGACTAGTGTGCTGTCAAAAGAAAAAAAAGTATATTCAGTGGCACACTCGAAATTCATTCTAAAATTGTTATATACATGAAGAAAGAAATATATATATGCATAAGAAATACTGTGTAAAAATCTGAAACGCCAATATTTAATCACTTTTAAATAATATGGCTTTTAAGTTAAGGAGTGCGAGTAAACTTGTTAGTTGACTTCGTACGGTGATACAGGGCGTATACGTTACATACGCAACTAGGTCTTTGTTGAAAAATGTAACAACTCGTGGGATTTTGCTCATATGTATTAATAAGGATTTATCACTCACCTACATTAAAATTTTGGAATATAATTTTCGAGGGGTTTTTTTTATATGTCAGCCCCACCCCCCTAAATTCGATCCTGACGACGCCCATGTGGGTAGTACCATATGTACATATCTATGTACATATATGTATTTGCATTCGATGTTTTTTATCTAAAAAAAAACAATTCATATATTTTAGAATTTGTTAATCTACGAAGAAGACAATGTAACTTGTTTTGAGATTTTGAAGTTAATTAATGATGATGCTGGAAACCATCTTAATTGCTCTGCGAAACAGTAAATTCCGAAATTCCCCTAACGCATTTTACGGGCAAATCGTTCTAAGATGGAATACAGACAAACAAGAGTTCTATGTTTTTTTAAATCATAAAATAAATATGTAAATATTTGGCGTTTACAAATTTGCTAGTGTCTGGAAAAATGAAGTCAATTCTGCTCAGAATGCGGGCATACCTCTAACCTCCTGCAACCACAGATTAAAGGCACAACGCATGAACAAAATTAAATTAAATAAAACAAATAAACAGGTAAATAAAGCTTAAAGTATTAAACCCTACATTTACTCCCCCCTCCAGAGAAAAGAAAAATTAATTAATATTAAATGTAACTTCCCTGCAAACCAAAGTTCCCGAAATCTTAAGGAAATCGTTAGGAGTATCTCATTTCTGTAACGATTTTTTTACGAATTTTCAAAGAAAATTATATGAAGTGGTTGACACGAACTCGTAAAGAAATTTCTGTACGAAAAATAAACAAAATTCTGGAAAAGTTCTGAAAGATATTGTTCACATAGCACCATTATTTTCGTTGCTTCACAGATTTTCTTCCGAAATTTCGTAAAAGAATGGAAGTGTGCGTAATTTATTTCATTTTAGAAAATTCGGCAAAAAATCGAA